TAATCATATCCTGAGCCGCTGTTTATATGTTTGTCTGTATATATATATTTCGCTGTAATCTATTAAAATGTATTCTGTAAAGTAGATCTTGTAACTTGTCTTTTTTTTATATACATATATATTTTTAAAAGCTTCAATCAGTTTGAATTATTGCAAAAAAAAATTTTGAAATCATGTTGCAGTATCTAAAGGTGTGCTCTTTCATTTTTATAAATCCATGTTTTAATGCTTTGCTTTAACTTAAAGGTATAGTGGAGGATGTTTTTTCTTCCAGGTGGATCATCATCAAATTAAGTGGTCCTTCTAATTGTCAGTCATTCTGGTGATATGTTTACGTAAGGCCATGCTACGTGCTCATCCCCATTTTCACTTACCGGTGCCGAGTCTGACATAGTGGAAAAGCTGCAAATCTTCTTTTGGAAAATAAGCTCATAAGGGCGATGCAAGCGGCAACTTTTAGACGGAGAATGCCTAGGAGAAATGGGCTCCTGTATGCACTCACACCCGTTCGCTCTTGGGAGCGGGTATTGGGGTTATGCATTTTTTATTTATTTTTTTTAAAGTGGAGAGGGCAGGTCTTTTCAAAAATTAGGTAAAATCCTCCCCTATACCTTTAATATGACCTGTTTAATAACTGCTCCAGGATTCACTTTAATTTCCCAAACTATTAAGACCCTTTGACGTTTTTTCACATTCTTATGTTACAACAGCAAACTTCACTGTATTTCTTGGGAGTTTGTGATTAACCAACAAAAAGTAGTGCAACATTTTTTAAGTATATAGATTTTTGTTTTGTGCCCCACTTTTTTATACTCATTGGTCGGAATGTTTATTCTAAGTCTTAATGAGGGAAACCCTGATTGTTTTTGTTGGTTACCCAACATTAATGAACTTAGGTATTCTTATTGACTTTTTCCCTTCCGTCTTCCCTAGCTCTCTGCTCCATAACACAGAGTTGGTGAAGTGCTTAACTAATAACTCTCCTGTTTACATATTTTCCCCCTTCTGCTGATATACATTTATTGTCCTGATGGCTGCATCTCTGGTGAACACTCTAGGTTGACTGCTATGTTTGAAAAGGTCTGCAGTTGTTCCAATGTGGGGGGGGGTCTATGAAATATTAGAACATTAACAACTTAACTAACCTTAAACCTTGCCTAAACCTTTATCACTGATCTGTCTGATGGTTTGTTGTCATAACCAAG